ATTGAAAAGAATTCTAGCAATATGAAGCTCTAAGTATGAAGTAAAAAGTGCATACCTTCCTCTTTCCCAAATTCTGTATTTAATAAGTAACTTTTAATGGTCTGTTATATGATCCTCTAGACTTTTGTTTCTGCCTTTAAAAATAAATAGGTACATATATATTTTAACACAGCTACTACGTATTTATTTGTTCACACGTCATATGTTTTATAGTCCTTTTTCACTTAACATGTTTTGAACACACATATTTCACTATATGACTTTTTATGATAATTATGGAGGACTTTTACATTTTTGCTGTTATAAAAAAGTACTGCAATGTGTCTATATTTTATATGAGATTTTTTTGAGCAATAAATTTCTGGAAGTGGAATTGCTGGCTCAAAAATTTTAAAAGTTGAAACTTTCACAGTGATTACATATACATATATATTACACACACACACACATATTTTTCTCTTTTAACAGTAGTGGAAATGCTTTTATTATCATAGGTTATTCTGACAACCATTACTTTATGTGAAGGTATAGCTTCTGACTCAGACTGTTATCTCCCCCTTTCTTTTCCAGATATAGCAATGATGTAACATCTCTGCCTTTTCTGCTGGAGATCCTTACAGTGTTACCTGAAGAAGTACATAGTCGTTCCTTACGTATTGGAGCTAATCGGCGCACAGAAATTATAGAAGATTTGGCTTTTTATTCTAGCACAGTGGTATCTCTCTTGGTGAGTAGGTTCAAAATACTAAGTCGCTGACTAAAGGCAAAAAGCCATGTCATTTTGTAATCAGTTGAATTATTGTGAAATAGCTTTATTTGCAAAATTTGTCAACATAATACTGTGACTTTTATAAATATTAAAAAATAATTTCAGAACTATACTTCTTAGCTTCCAAATACTTCAACTTGGATCTTCTGATCACACAATCCTGTACTACTGACAACTCTTTGATCAAAGATTATGCCAATGTTATCAGTTTACGAAGGAAATGTTCCTCTTGAGGATTAATTGAGATCTTGACAGGAAAGTGGTACAAGAATTTATTTGAGGGCCTCCCTGGTGGCACAGTGAGTTAACACCATGAGGCTGTCTGCAGCCACTGCATGAGTTTGACCCCCACCAGGGAGATGACTAAGCAGACCTCTCCGTAATGTCCTTAGTGGCCCGCTGCTCCCCTCAGCAGTGTGTTTCAGTAGATCTGCCTGTTCTGCTCCACACTGTCTCTGGTGAATCTTTGGCCTATAACCCAGTACTTGTATGTATAAATGAATAAACATCTTTAAAAAGAAAAAAAGAATTTACTTTACCTTTGAGCAATTATAGGTTAGCTAGTTTGAGTTTCTTTGTAAAGAGTTACATTACATTTGGCTATGTTCTTTTTGATTGTATGGAGACTTCAGTAATTCAGGGTTGGCTAAATTTATGGTTTATCAGCTAGTCACCTATTTTTGTAAATAAAATTTTCCTTGGGTATCAGTTACATATAGGTGTGTTTTGTTTTATTGTGATAGGTGGTTACTGAGTTTTGGTTTTTTTTTTAAGAGATTTAAGTTTTGTGGCACCATTGTGTTAAGCAAATCTTTAAGCGCCCTTTTTTTGTAGCCTGGATGTGTGTTTAGTTAATGTCTGTGTAACACTTTGGTAGTTACTGCAGTATTTCTAACCTTTTCATTATTCATTGTTTTTAGTATAATTCTTTACCTGTTATATGATGGCCTGTCATCAGAGATCTTTGATGTTGTTATTGTAATTATTTTCAGGTACCATCAATTGAATTCTTATAAGACTGTGAGCTTAGTTTGATAAATGTGTGTGTTCTAACTATTCCTATGACCACTGTTTTCACTGTCTCACGTCCTTGGGCCTCCCTACTCCCGGAGATACAACAGTATTGAAATTACCAATTAACAATCCTACGGTGGCCTCTAAAGTTTTGAAGTGAAAGGAAGAATTGCACACCTCACTTTAAGTCAAAAGCTAGGACTGATTAAGCTTAGTGAGGACAGCCTGTCAGCAGCCAGGACAGACTGAAAGTTAGGTCTCTTGCTAGAGTTTGTACTCTTGCTAGAGCTTATACATACAAAAGAGAAAATTTTTCTTAAAGTGGTAGAATTTTATTTACATTTTTGGGGGGTTGCGGGGGGGGGCATAGATCTAGTGTGCAAGCCAGAGTTACAGGGAGAGGGGTGTTGTATGTGTGAGAGGATTCACCCGTGAGTCAGACCTCTCCTGTCCTGCCTTCTGCTCCCACTTTGTGAATCCTCACCCCCACCCCGGTACCTCTGACCTGTACCCCAGTTTTGTATACCCCAGTATGCATAAATAAATCTTTAAAAATCTTTTTTAAAGTCTTTGAAAAAA